ACTAGACCTCAACCAAAAGTGTGGTCAACACTTAGCAACTCATTTGATTCCAGCTAATTCACCTTTAACGATGATCTCTCAAATGAGATTATATTGGTAATTAACTCCCTATAATGGGAGTTATACTTTGATGGAACATCTTCTTTGAAAGAAGTCCTTATTAGAGTTCTCCCGAAAATAAAAGTCATAATTTGTTTAATTTCTATATTTTGATAGTGTGATATTATTTATTGTTCTTACAAGTTGACAGAATCATGTACAAAGAATGAGATAGAATATGAATCCTTCATTTTGGAGTTAGAGATTGTTTTTCAAAAAGACTTAAATAGAATTCATATATATCTTGGTGAAAGTTTTTAAAAATTTTCTGGTGAACCATACTAACAAAACTCTTCATTCTAATAAGAAGTGGCATAATAAGCTCCTGAAGGTATTATGAGTGTATCATGCAACCGACCATAAACCCAAACATTTTATGCTTTACATATCGGCGTTTAGGTCCAAGGTATTCATTGAAATAGAATTACCCTCATTGGATGTTGCAATAAACATTAATATTAATAATGATCAAAATATAAAACTTTAGTCAGAATATTTTGATAACATAGATTAGCTTAGGTTATAGGCCCTAAAAAATCTAGAGATGTTCTGAGCTTGTATGATTATGATCCAAGATAATAAGTAAAACCAAGAGTTTTTATATTTGGAAAACAAAAATATATGCTCTTTTAAAGTTGTAACTAACTCACCTTTACGCTTAGCATCAAAGGACGAAAAGCAATCTTTAATTATAACTTGGCCCCCTTCCTCTGAGATCCCAAGGCCTAAGCCTCCATGAGCCTTCAAATTTTAATGATGTTTTAAGCCAAGCACCTTTTATTCTTAAATGTTACATATCACCTTTAAATTTTATCCTAAAATATTGAAGTTATTCTCCTCACATATCACTCACACTTAGATTAAAAATTTCATAATAATATAGTATGTCAAGTTGAAAGCACAAAAAAGTATTGAGAGATTAGCCAAATATTGCATTATAATCCACTAAGACATTGGATATAATAAAGTTTGTCATTGTAGAAAATGATTGACAACCCTTTTCCCATATAAGTAGTAGAAACATTATGCCTTGGGTTCTACTCTATCCCAAAAGAATCCATGTAGTGTGCTTATATTTTGCAACAAAAGGTTCTTATCAATAGCCATTATCTTAAATATTCTTTTGAACATTACATTAGTTGAGTACCAAATAATAATAAATATACCGCTATTCAAATAAATTGTGATCAATGGCATGACCATAATTACATTATTATAGGAGTTTTAATTTAATGGTTTTTCACCTTAAATAATATGATGGGGATGAGTTATACAATTGATGCATACACCATGATTGCCAAGTTTAAGTTTATTGAGCATAGTCATTTAAGGCTAGCTCATTAGGTAGCTTCTTTTATTCTATCAAAGATGCAGAAATGAATCTAACAATGTTAATGACTTATGTTGAGATCAAAGTTTTGAAAACCGGATGGGAGGTTGAACTGAAAGAGAGCGAGGTCCATGGTTCAACGGTTGAATCGGGGTTGAACTAGAGGTTGAATTGGGTGAAGTTATTAATATAAATATATTAAATATAACTTTAATAACATAATAATTTTGTAGAAGGGTAGTATGTAAAGTATATCATGAAATAAAAACCATATGTGAACTTAAACTACTCATTTAAATGACTAATATTTTCTTTTGTAATAGACAGTAATGTTGATTCATTAAACTATTTCATTCCTCTACTTTAAGCAAATATTTCTCTAGAAAGAAATAAAAATAAGAAAATTTTACCATCAAATAAAAAAATTTGTAAGTAATCAAAAGATAAAAAATAATATTGAATACACAATTGCATAAATGTGTAGTAATTAAATAATTATAACAAATCATTTAATGTGAACGAATGTGTTTATAAATTAAAACAAAAAGTAAATCGAAATGCGCAATACACTATTACTACAAGAAGACTAGCAATCAAGTATTATAATCTAAAAATATCTCTCAAGAAGCAATAAAAAAATAGCTAGTTCAACATTTGGACATTCAGTTCCAACCAGTTCAATAGTTGGACCGTCAGTTCCAACCAGTTCACTATGGTTTAATGCAAGGATGATTTTTAGGCCAACTAAAACCGAACCTCTGGCTAGCTCATGGTCAAACTAGTCAGTTCAATCAGGTGTTATAAACCTTGGTTTAGATAGGTTTATCTCTTCACTCTTTAACTTGCTCTTTAAGGGTTTTAAGCTCAAGCTATCCATGATGGATTATTTTGAACTTTATCTTTATCCTTACACTAGTTTCTTGAAGTTTCAATAACCCTCAATGTCATGGTTATGATCCCCATGGAATGCATAATATTTTATCATATATTTTTGATAAATGTTGGCTCTTATTAGTTAAGGGTAATTAAAGTACTTTTTATTTTGAATGAATTTAATTAATTTGGCCATAAATGCTCATAATAGGGTGATAAAAGGGAATTTACAAGTAAGTGGCAGTGGTGTGACCTCCCCATCCTTTTGAAGTCAGTACTCATCTGAATCAGTAGTGCACTTGTTGGGGCCAATGAGTTAATTGTATGGGTCAAGAAAAAACTTGTCTAATCATGAAAGTTTAGAGTGATGATGTTATTCATAAAGAGGTGGTTTCATCTTCATCACTCAAACGTATTTAAGCAGTTTACTAAGTGATAGTTTTTTAGTTTAATCATTGTATTCTTTTTTACTAGCACACTAATTGGTGAGTTCTAGTAACTCATAATGCTCTTGGTTATTTTTAAAAAAGTGTATAGCAAGATGGCCTCTAATGGATACCTTAGATTAAGATTCTTTGAGTCACTTTCAACTCTGGACCTTTGAACTCAAGCATCTCTTTAAAACTTTGTGATGAGGTTTCTCAATGACTCGCTCAGCTCTTCGCAGTTTCTTAATAGAGCCAATGAGCTCTCTTATGAGAGCAAGGCATTGGCAAATTGAGTTATATATTTTTTCACAAAGTTAACAAATGAAATTATCTTCCTTAAACATGGCCAAAAAAATCAACTCATGACGAACTCCTTGAAGTTTATGAAGAACAAAATTCACATTAATGCATCATTGATGTCAAGAAGGGAGAAAGATGACTTAAAATAATTAATGTTGATGGTCAAGTCTATCAAACCTTGATAAGCGTAGATGTAGGGATTTTTATCTGGTTAGGGACTTAATTCAATAATTTCTCTATTAAGAGTGTCATTAATTATATTCTCATTTTTCTATATTCCCTTAAAGTCAGTGAGAATCTATGGTGAACACTTATTTCTCTAACTCCAAATAGTATTTACTTACCAAGGATGGCAATGCATGTGCTCCTGATTTTCTTCTCCTCGAGACTAAAGTAATGATCTCTTATAATTGTATTTATTGTGCCCTATGTGCCATCCTCAGCAGCTAAACTAAGATGTTTTAGACCAGACAGTTCAATCACTCCTTCATTTTAGTGAGATGAAATGTTTTAACAAAGTCTTGACATTCCATTTTACAAGAGACACCCTCAATTTATGCTCTCTAATTTATTCTTTGCTAGGTCTTTCATTAAATCAATGAGTGTCCCTTCAAGGTTTAGGTATAGATTTATGCTCATTGTTCTTAAAAGAAAGATGGATCTTAATCTGTTAGTGGGTTACGCTATAATCTTGCTAACACACACAAAAAAAAGCTTCTAAGGATAAACGAGAGATAAATAAAGAAAGTAAAATTTACATAGTTGGCTAAACTGACTATTATAGTTAAAAGTATAATATATATTTGATGATTCAAGAAAGCTAGAAGCCTTGGCTCCTTCTAAAATTTTTATAGATAGGTGCATAATATCTCAAAGCTTTTGATCGATTGTTGAGTTCATCCTAAATCTTATCTTGTTGAGTTTTCTTGAAAATCAGCTTGCGAGTTTGTTTCATAGGTCTCCAGTTGCTTGAATCTACCCCAAAAGTATATGCATATTTTGTCATACTTTAAAAAGATAGAAAATCATTTTCTTCGATATTTAAGTATTTAAATTTAACTAAAATATTTCTCAAAAATATTATAACAATTAGGAGAGAAAAATCAATTTCAAATTAATTCGTTATACTAATTATAGTTAAATGAATAATTTTTTTTTCAAAATTAAATTTGACATTAACTTAATTGGCTAGAAGTAATTTATCATATATATGACCATAAAAAAGTAAATATAATAAATTTATTTTTAAAAAAATCATTTGAAATTGAAGCTCTTTTTATTTAAATATTTTAAATAAAATTCTTTTATGATGTTTTATTAATGTCTGTAGATCATAAAGTAATATTTATTTTTTAAAAATTTATAGCTCTCTTTCTAAAAAAGTTATAAAATTTAAAAAAAAAACTTTATAATTCCATATAAACCAATAACAAATTAAATAAATTTATTAAAAAAATACAAACGTATAGTAAAATAGGCAAACATATAAAATTTATAGTACATTTTTAAGCAAGATTAAATAAAAGAAAAAACTATTTGAAAAATTCATAGTATTAATGTTTTCAAATTTTATATTATTCTCTAACAAAATACCATCAATTTTCACGTTTGAGCGAACATCCATTTTTACACACTCAACCCGAAAGAGCTGGACAGACGCCAGGCTAAACCGCACGTGGACAAAAAATGCAGAATAAGCTGCATTATTATTAAAGCCCAACCATGCCGAAATCTTTACCAGAGACGAGTTTGGCTGCCTTCTTGTTAGAAGGTACGAAAAATGCGTTTCATAACTATAGCATATCTCAAGTAATTTGCTGCTCTTCGACCAATCAGTAATGCTTTGTCTCAACTGCAGGGGTTGAAGATGCATCCGTAAATTTAGGATTAAATTTCACCCAACTTTAAAAAAATACATATATATGAGCAAAGTACCGAACAAGAACATCGGCATACACATCTGAAAAAAATAAGCAAAACCTTATTATTATTAAATTATTTTCTCAAATTATCAAGCAACAGCAGAGACCACCACCAGAAAACATGGAACAAACAAATGATGACAAGATACAAGTCCCCTGACTTTAAAGTTTGAACCAGCTCTAAACAACTACACCTCATAACTTGCACCCACTGAAGAATAACAGTGGATGTGAAAAAAAAAACTCTAAAAACCAAACAGGTGCAGCATAATGGCATTTTGAGCGTGCATCCGATTTTCAGCCTGCGTGAAAACAATGGAGTTGGGAGCTTCCATGACACCATCTGTAACCTCGACTGCTCTCTCAGCGGGGAGGCAATGCATGAAATAGGCTTTAGGGCCCGCCAGTTCCATCATGGCTTCATCAACCTATAAAAAATTTAAGATCAGACGCCATGAAAGGAACTCGAAGATTCATCATTGCCTTTTGCACTGTGTTAAGCGGATGGAAAAACCTCAATATAGCATGCCTCAATAAGATATCATGAGATAGGAAAAACCGTGATAATCGAACACTGGAATGAATAATATGATTGAGACTGAGAAATTCTATAAATAGGAGGATGTAAGTGTCGGTTGCAGACAGCCATACGATATCATAAGATAGCAACACGAAAAATTTTGTAGAACACTCAAAACATTCTCAATGAATATCAAGATCGTATCAGTGAGTATTTTGAGAATTTAATCTGCAGTCTGGAGCCAGACTCAATGAGGTTTAAAGAAGTAATGCTTGGTTGGATCCATGCTAAATAAACTCTAGCGTTTTGGAAAAAGGTAATGCAGGTAGAAAATTTGTTAAAATGTTGACATCTGAAAGCAGTATGGTTTAAGTTATGGTACCTGGAATCCTTGGAATTTTTGCCTTCTAAAAGCAGCCTCTTCCTTTTGACCCATGCTAGCCCAGACGTCAGAATAGACTACGTCAGCTCCCACAACCGCTTCCCTTGGATTATCAGTTATCACGATCTTGCTGATACCAGCACTCCTTGCCTTCTCAACAGTCTTCTCATCAGGTTCAAAGCCTTTAGGACAAGCGCACACAAAGTGAAGTGGGACAACAGATGCTAACATTAACCACGAATGCACAATATTGTTTCCGTCCCCAACATAGACGATCTGTAACATATAACAAGGATGTTAGCTTTCAAGATATCATATTTAAGAAAAAAAGCATTCCTATCATTATTTATGAACTTTACGAAGCAAAAGAAAGTTTTAAATTATTCACAAAGGCTTAAGCTGATATATATTGACTTCAAGGTGGCCTACCAAAGGGAAATGAAAATAATTTCAAAATTTTTCTCTCCCCAACATAATTTGTGGAGCCTCCAAGTTCAAATTCAAGTTGAGACATCCCCATACGATAAATAAAATTCAACACACTTGAATCAACACTTAAATTAAAGAGTTATACAAAAAACGAAACATTAATGAAAGAAATTCAAATACATATTAAGAATCCAACATGGAAAAAAATTTTTGGCTAAGCGATAAATAAACTAAGGAGAAAAACAAAATAGGCATTAATGGACAGCAACAACAAGAACAAAGCCTTAGTCTCACTAAGTGTTACATGAATCCTTTTCTCCATTGCATCCTATTTAGTGTCATATTTTCATTTATTTCTAATAAATTAAGATAATTTTTTTATACAATAAGCCCAAACCTTCCTAGGTTTACCTCTGTCTTTCTTAACATAAGTTGAATCTAAAACATCTACTCTCCGAATCGGATCACCGGATGGTTGGCGTTTAATGTGACCAAACTATCTAAAACGACTCTCTAATTTTGTCGTCACTGGAGCTACACCAACCCTATCACGAATAAATTCATTTCGCATTTTGTCTCTAAGTGCAAAACCACCCATCCACCTAATCATTCTCATCTCTGCAACACTTAACTTAGTATTATGCTTCTCTTTTAAAGGCCAACATTCAGCGCTATAGAGCTTTGGTCTCACCACCGTCTTATAAAATTTTCCTTTCAGTCTAAGCGGTACTTTTCTATCACACAAAAGGCCCGAAGCATTCCTCCACTTCAACCAACCAACTTGAATTCTACCATTAGCAACCCCATTTATATCACCATCGAAAATTGGCATTAACGGACAAAAATTATAAAACTGAAATTAAAAAGCGCCTAACCAACCCCATGAAATTAGCACTCTAAAATTCAAATGGATGGACTATATGATCGGACCTATAAAAAAATTTATTGAATTATATTACTCATATAATTACAATAAAATAACTATAAATATCTGAAAGCATTTTATTAGAAGGAAGTTTGGGTAAATTATGTAATGTGCCTTGCGATTTTACTTGAGAGTTAGGATTAGATAGATTTCAACTACATTGATATTTGGTAAGCTGCTTATGAAATAATATTTTATATCCTATTCCAATCATGAATGATAAAGCCATTGCCCTTTCTTCCATAACTTCCAATTTAATTACTCAATGGTTCATGTGGTGATATCTTGACGGTCAAACAATTCATTTCCAACATATTTAGAGTTAGCTTCCACCCATATCCTATCATGACAAAGATTCACTATTAGCACGTTTTCATTCAACCACCTGGTTGATTGATGTTGCCATCACTCATATAATAGTGGTTGACTCCTCATGAATATATCGGTATTTCATGGTAAAAATTAAAAGAGTTAATTCACCATGGCATCACTACCATAGTCCGCTGTCCATAAATAATTCTGGAGAGGCTTTACCCCTTAGCTTGCATCCCATCCCTGCCACTTTTCATCTTTTAACATTTTGGTGCTAGAGCTAAAGGAAATCTATCTCACTGAATCTGAAAATAGCTTGGTGACATCTTTCCTTCTGCAATGATTAACTCTTATTTTGATTTTAATATATCATTGGCTACTTTTTATTTACACTTTAAAACTTCTTTTCTTGATCTCCTTTCAAAAACTTGAGGAATGTGATCTCATGTGTTACTCCTTAATTTAGTAATCTAAAGTAACCTTTTTTAAAAAATTATTGAATTGAAATATTTTTTTCTTGCCATCAAAAAGAATTATCCCATCTATTTTAATGTTTTAGTCACACTTTTCATCTTTTATCATTTTGGAGCTAGATCCAACGTAAATCCATCTCACTGACTGTGAAAATAGCTTGGTGTCTTCTTTCTATTTTTCAAGGATTATTTCTTATTTTAATTTTAATTTCTCATTAGCTACTTTTTATTTACACTTTAAAACTCGTTTTCTTCTCTTTTCAACAACTTAAGGTATGTGACATCTTATGTTACTCCTTAGTTTGGTAATCTTAAGCAACCTTTTTAAAAAAATTATTAAATTAAATATTTTTTCTTGAGATAAGAAGGAAATATCCCTCCCATTTTAAATTTTAGTAGCATTTTGCTTTCTGACTTAATTTTATTTTAATAAATAAAATTCAATTTATTTTTAATCAAGATCAAGGCATCTACTGGTTTAAGCGAATCCACAATCAAAAAATTCTTGAAGAATGGGGGAGTAGATATAGAATAAGGATACAAATTTCCAGGAAACTTATCTTTGAAAAAGAAAAAAAATTCATTCATTATCATTATTCTATGAGCTTTCAAAAGCAAAAGAAGATTTTAAATTATATTCAGAGGCTTATGTTGTAATAAAAAAAGTGGCATTATTGTCTTCATCGAATTGGCATGAAAATTTCATGTTTTTTATAACAATTACAAGATTGGCCCAGCCTACCAAGAGGAAGCCAAAGCAACTTTAACATTTATTTCTCTCTCATACATAATAGGTGGCACATCCTTCGAGTTCAAATTCAAGTTGGAGCACATCTATGTAATAAAATTCAATCAAAACTTGAAGGCTTAAATTAATGAGTTGTACAAAAAGAAATATTATTGGGAAAAAATTCAAATTCAAATTATGATTTCTCCATGCATGCAATGTTCAACTAAACAAGTCTTTACTCAAAAAAGTGTTCCATAAAAGAAATATAATTGAATGAAATTCAAATTCAAGTAAAAAAATATATGGATAACCCCATGACATAAGCATTTTAAACTTCAAATGTAAACAGTAAAAGATTTGACTTATAAATTATTTGTCTATTTTTTATTTGTTATGTTAATAGAGTAATTACCATTAAATGGCTATAAGTTGTATAAGAAAATAAATAGGAAAAATCTATAAGATGCCTTTGCGTTTTGCATAGAAGTATAGGTGATTCTCTTTTATATGTCACTTTTAATGAGTTGTCCATGACATTGTATATTATATATTAGGATGATTTACATACAAACGAAACTTTTATTTACGCATCTAATATCTGAACTTTAATATTTACATCAAAATTCGTACTATTAACAACTTTTTTAAGTGAAATGCATCTTTCAATACATATATTTTGATGTGAAGATGACACTATAGTAGTGTACATAAAAAAACCGATCTTTAGGTCTTAGATATTTAAATACAAAAGAATTGTGTAATATCCATGTAAAATTCTATTTATATTTTGATTTAAAGATGAATGAAGAATGCAAATCTCTCTCTTGATTCTCCACAAAATAATTTCTTACCGATTGTCCCCAATATCAGCAAAGCCAATATCACTCTTAACATGCCATCATTCAATCACATATTAGTTGATGCTTTCTTCATCCTTATATTGGGCGAATTGATCGTTTAAAAATATTTAGGTAAACTATATTCATAATATAATTAGTATGAATTCACTCCATAAATCCACTTCCATAAATAAACGTGGTGAAGCATCATCCGCTCGCCTTCACATATACCACCAACACCTTCCTTGGCTTATCATTGGTATTGTCACCTTCTGACCCCCGCCACCACCTTCTATCTCTTAATAATCAGTCATGTATAAAACTTCAAAATAAGCTAGAAACATTGTTATTTGCAGATCTAATAAGTACCAAGACTTTTAGAGAGTTCAAAAGTTACTCGCCTTTGTACCTTCCAGTTGGCCAATATGCTCAATTATTGTAAGTGCATCAGCCATTATCTGACAAGGGTGGTTGTAGTCAGTCAGACCATTCACAACAGGGACTGAAGCAAACTTTCCAAGGTCTAGAATATCCTGCATTTACATGTGAAAAATACACATGCTAAAGCATAATATTGTCGAACGTACAGCCAAAAACTAAAATAATGAAACAAAAAAAATTGGTCCAAACAATAGAATGATGAAAGAAAACAAATGGCCAGTTGAAGTGCTGGATTATCATCCAGAAACTAAGCTTCATATTCACATGTGATGGAAATCTGCACAACTCTGTATGATATGGTTGCAAATATACATACGAAGGCTTTGTAGTTCATTTTAAACAATTTAGTGCTACTAAAATACATAAAAAGAATTCACTGGTAGATAAACATCCATTTAATATTTTATTGCAAGAAGCATCTAGCATTTTAAATAGATAAATGAAAAACTATAATAAGCATAGAAGAGAATGACAGAAAAATAATAATAAGCTTAAACAAAATTTTGAGAAGCAATCTGTAACGAGTGAATTTGCAAATTCTATTACATTTGTTATTGTTTCAATACGTTTGGATCATTTACAACCTGTAAAAAAGAAGATACAGAAACTATTTGATGCATCATATCCATGACGAATTTTATTATTTGATTCACTTTTTTTTTCTTTAATGTTAGCAATTTGACATTATTTAGTAGTTGGTTTTGATATTTTGGATATAGTATGGTTATGTGACTGAGTCCATCAAGGTCAACAAAAGAAAAGGCACGCAATGTGCATTGGAAAAATGGCTCAAGCTATATGAACAAGCAAAGAGATAATAATTAATTTCCGAAGGTGTTATCCCTATGTATAATAGCAAAAATGCCCATGCATGAAGACCCGCAAATGCAGACCCCAACCTCCACATTTCAAGTAACCTTGTAAGGTGCCACCTCCTCCACCTTGTTAGGACTGCTACCACTCCTTTTCTTCTCTTTGTTTTGAGGTTTTTAATGTACGTAATGGTCTTAAAGTTGCAAGAACTTCTTCAAGGAAGAATTCTAGCAAAACTAAATTGAGAAAAAATATTCTTTGAGAAATCAGCAAGGTAGTTTGATTCTTGAGGTTGTTAGTTTGGTGACTTCAACCTATCTTTTTTCTTTGTTAAGCATATGAAGTTGATTTTTGCTTTTATTATCTCAAGTATTTTGCGGTAATTTCACTCCCTCACACCTTCCATCACCCTTTTCCCAACCTCATTCAAAACTAGACAAGGCACCAACTTGGGTGTGCCTTGAAATGTACCATGCTAAAATGCTCTACTGCTAAAACACTATTATTGCCGGGTACCTAGCTGGAAAGCGAAAAGTGAAGGGTTAAGTTTGATAGTTGGCTGTCAACATAAAAATTAGCAAAAAATTATAACATGTATCATTTAAATTATTGTGTAAATGTTAGAGCGTCCCATGAAAACGACGTATTGTATGATCAGAATATAGTGAAAAGTGCGCAAGGGCCATTAAATCAACGCTCGGGTGTGGCGTTAAATAAGGCAGAGTTCCCACATTATAGATGAATGTGGGCGAAGAAATTAGTCCATGAAACTAATATTAGAATATGAACTTAAAATATAGATACTCTCATAGGTAAATTAATAGAATTAGTAAAAATTGTGGTTCAAGGAAAGATAAATATCTTATGCAATCAAGAAACTAAATATGTTGGAGAAAAGACCAGGGAGATTAATATCTTTGGTTTTAAATTTTGGTATTCAGGTAGGAGCCATACTATGAATGATGTTGGTGTAATTATAGATAAGAGTTTGAAAAATAATATTGTAAAAGCTAAAAGAATTGGAGATAAAATTATAGCCCTAAAAGATGTTGTTGATACCAAGATTTTTAATGTTATAAGTGCTTATGCAACCCAATTAGATTTAGATATGTGTTTAAAAAAAATCTTGGAATGATTTAAAAGGATTAATACAAGGGATACCTTTTGAAGAAAATTTTTTTATTGTATAAGATTTAAATGGACATGTTGGTAGAGTGGTGGATGATTTTAAAATTAATCATGGTGGTAGCAATTTTGAAGTGACTATTGAATGACGTATTCATATTGAATTTTTCCTTAGCTTAGGATTTTGTTATTGCCAATACTTTATTTAAGAGAAGAGATGAGAGCATATTATTACTTAAATGAATGGATCCAATAAAATATAAATTATTACATGTATCATTTAAATCATTGTGTATATGTTAGGGTGTCTCATGCAAATGACATGTTATATGATCTATACACCGTGAAAAGTGTGCAAGGGCCACTACATTGGTGCTCGGGTGTTGTGTTAAATAAGACCAAGTTTCCACATTATGGATGGATGTGGACAAAGAAGTTTGACCATGAAACAAATATTAGGATATGAACTTCATATATAGGTATGCTCATAGGTAAATTAATAAAAAAAGTATAAATTATAGTTCAAGAGAAGAAAAAAATCTTATGCAATCAACAAAATAATATGTTGGGGAAAAGACAAGAGAGATTAAATATTTAGGTAAGAGTTATAGTAGAAATGATGTAGGTGTAATTATAGATAAGAGTTTGAAAGACAAAATCATAAAAGGGGATACCTTTTGAAGAAAAAAATTTATTGGATAAGATTTAAGTGGACATGTTAATAGTGGTAGAAAAATTCAAAATTATTCATGGTGGCTATATATATATATATATATATGTTTTAAAAAATATTTTGGAATGACCTACAAGAATTAGTATAAGGGATACCTTTTGAAGAAAAAAATTTATTGGATAAGATTTAAGTGGACATGTTAATAGTGGTAGAAAAATTCAAAATTATTCATGGTGGCTATATATATATATATATATATGTTTTAAAAAATATTTTGGAATGACCTACAAGAATTAATATAAGGGATACCTTTTGAAGAAAAAATTTTATTGGATAAGATTTAAGTGGACATGTTAATAGTGGTAGAAAAATTCAAAATTATTCATGGTGGCTACGACTTTGATGTGACTAATAACTAACATAGAGTCATTGGATTTTTCCTCAACTTGTATTTGTTTTATTGCTAATACTTTATTTAAACAAAATGAGTATATTATTACTTATAAGAATGAATCAAATAATTATAAATTAATTATTTTCTCATGAAAAAAAATCGTGGATATATTAAAGATTATAAGATAATTTTATCAAATTTAAGTATTCAATATTGATTATTAGTTTTAAATTTTAAGATGAAGGGTTGAAAGATAAAAACTATAATGAAATATTGTCATAGATTTAGATGGGGTCATTTAAAAGACAAATAAAATTATTTTTATGAGTAAACTTCAAAATATTAAGATTTAAGATATTGATAAAGAAGCTAATGTTATGTGGATTAAAATAACAAACACTATTAAATAAGATGCAAAAGATATACTTGGAGAATCAAAAGAAAACACTTTTATAAATAAAAATTAATGGTGGTAGAATAATAATGTGAAAGAAAGGATAAAATATAAAAAATTGTTATAAAAATTGGTTTAAAAGTAAAAGCTTAAAAACCTGGGAGAAATATAAATTGGTCCATAAAAAATCCAAGAAAACAATTTGTGATGCTAAAAATTATGCTTCTAGTGAATTTTATAATAAATTAGATATTAAATAGGTTCAACAATATATGAATAAGCTAGTCAAACAAAAAGTAAAAATTTAGTTCATGTGTATTAAGACTGAAAATCAAAAAAATATTTTTTTTAGATGAAGATATTCAACATATGTGAGTGAGAAATTTTGATAAACTATTCAATGAAGATTTTGGAATACAATCAACCTTAGTCATCTTAATATCGTTAATATTATTTTTTTTTATCACCTCAATAGTAAAATAGAAGTCGAGGAGATTTTAGAGAAAATGAAGGGTGCTAAATCATAACCTAATGGTATCCCAATAAAAGTGAAAATGTTTAGGAAACTTGGGAATTTCTTAGCTTAATAAAATTTTTTATATGTATTTTAAAAATTAAAAAGATGTCTGGGGAGTGAAGGAAGAGTACCATGATCCATAGTTTTAAGAGTAAAGAGGATGCACAAGAGTGTGCAAATTATAGAAGAATTAATTTAATGTCTCAATAAATTTGGATTTATGACGGGCAAGTCTACTTTGGAAGTTATTCATTTATTGAGATTTAATGGAGAAGTACAAAAATAATGAGGATCTACTATGATTTTTGTTGATTTAGAAAAAACTTATGATAAGATTCTAAGAGAAGTTCTTTAGAGAGTTCTTGAAAAGATAAGTGTTGAAATGACATATTCAAATCATGAATAGGATATCACAATTCATGTAGAAAAATTTCACAAATATCTATAAAACAAGGACAAGGCATGTTTAATTCTATTAAAGATGGTAGAGGATTACAAGTTGGTCAAATAGCACAAGTGATGAGTTAGTGGTGCCAACAAGTTTTTGGATTAGATTGTAATGGCAGAGAAAATTCAATACGATAGCAAAGAGGCCACACATGAACATATTGAAATTAATCACCCTAATTTGTGATTAATGCTCTCCACCATATTGCAATGCTATCCTCTATTTGTCACCGTCTCTTAAAAGTTAAAAGATTCGAGCTTAATTATCCTTTATGAGGTATATGCGATCCTTTAAGGATGAACCTATGGGGCAACTTAAGCTTATTTAAGATGTGCTTGGTTAAAATTTTGGTTCTAATATCTTTGAATATTGAAATGAAAAGATCTAATATATAAGCACCAACAATTGAATGACAGCTTTTAAAGTGCAGGAAAATTTTCCTATAGATGACAACAAACTTTTTTGTGCTATAAAATTTTAAATGGTAGAGAAAAATCAAGTTAACCACCACATACAAATAAAAGTGATATTAAATAATAATATTTTTAAATAAAAATTTAAAGAGAGAAAACCACAAGATCACAATCAAAATAGTCCACTATATAATTGATATTACAAAGCTTCATTCTTCTCCTCAAATAGATAAGACAATATTAGAAAACTATGAATTTTGCTTATCCTTTAGTTGTTATAACATGGGTAGTTGGTCGACATCAATTAAGTGACAA